ATATCTTGATTGAGATGTTATCTATACCTTGTCTTGCCGTTGAAGCATCACAGACATTTGAGAGAGCTGTAGCTCGTGGTGCCATCACAGCTAAATCTGTTGCTGTGGTGTTGAAAAAACGTCTTGCTCAAAAAGCAAATAGCAATGCTAGATTCGTAGCTGAAAGCTTCCAGCATGGAGATTCTGTAATAGATGGTGAATCTAGTGAGCAGCTGAGAGTCCAGCGGGATGATTTTACTTCTATTGTTGGTCTTGCCGAAACATTAGCACTCTCTAGAGACCCTTGCGTTAGAGGATTTGTGAAAATGCTTTATCCATCATTGTTTAAGTGGTATGCAAGTGAATCTTATCGAGCCAGGATGCTGAAAAGATTGGTTGACCGTGTCACCAGCAGTGCAGATAATAACCGTGAAGTAGATATGGATTTGGAAATTTTGGTTACGTTAATTGGTGATGAACAAGAAATAATTAGACCTGTGCTAAATATGATGCGGGATGTTGCAGAACTAGCAAATGTTGACCGTGCTGCTCTCTGGCACCAGTTATGTGCTACTGAAGATGAAATCATCCGTATCCGTGAAGAAAGCAAAGTAGAAATTTCAAATATGATGAAAGAAAAAGCTGTTCTTTCACAAAAACTTGGTGAATCTGAAGCCATGATCAATCGCCTAAAGGTATTTAATTCTTGCTTACCCATCTACATTTCTCAGAAGTTAGATTCAGTTGCCTATGGAACGGGTATATAGATGGCGAGATTTAATGAATCATCACGTCAAAGAAAAGATGGTGAATTTAAGAACTAATATCTATATCTATATATATAACACAATTTTGATGTAAAATTTACGCTGTTAACCCATTACTGGTTTATGATTGTCAATCTTAAAAAAACTTGACAGGCTGAGATGAAGGCTGAGATGGAGAGATTTTCTCGCGAGAGAAAGGAACTTTCTGAACAAATGCATGACATTGAGAGTCAGCTTGAGTGGCTTCGCTCTGAGCGAGATGATGAGGTTGTGAAGTTAACATCAGAGAAGAAAGTTCTCCATGATCGTCTCCATGATGCTGAGACTCAAATTGTGCAATTGAAATCCCGAAAACGTGAGGAGATGAAGGTATCAATTGACTTTAAGCTAATGTCTATTCAACTAATGGCTATCCTCTCATCACGGGCAGAAAATTGTTTGGATGATAACAATCTGAATTTACCATTACGTATGCACACATGTTCCGAGAAGGATGGATAATAGATTGAACTGTAACCAAAAGACTAACAGAAAAACATTTGCCCAAGCCATAAAAGCCTCAAGATTTTTGTTCACATCTTGTTGCTACGTTCCTTATCCATTGCTATTACGATTGTTTGCTGGGAAGTCTAGCTGTTTTCCTTCTAATAGTTGGTTGTTGCCTAGTTAAGCTTGTTAATGACATGAATCTCTCATGTGGCAGAAAGTGGTTAAGGAAAAAAATGCACTTGCTGAGAGGTTGAAGAGTGCTGAAGCTGCTCGAAAAAGATTTGATGAACAACTGAAACGGTATGCAAATGAAAATATGACGAGGGAAGAAATCCGGCAGTCACTGGAAGATGAAGTTCGCCGGCTTACACAAACAGTTGGACAGACTGAAGGAGAAAAGAGGGAGAAGGAGGAGCAGATTGCTCGATGTGAAGCATATATTGATGGGATGGAAGCTAAATTGCAGGCCTGCCAGGTTTTTTCCTACTTCTACCATGATACTAATCTATCTGTTAGATTTTCATCAGCTCATTTAAATTGCGGTTTAGAACGAATAAATAAGCACAGTGATCTTACGAATGTTATAATAATAGCATTATAGTTGATAAATTATGTATAGGTCTTGTTAAATCTGCGTCATACTTGGAAAAATCTATTCAACCGTGAAGATTTATTGTAGAAGTAATTTTGTTAGAATAGGGCTCATCTATAGTTAGAATTTCTTAATGACAACAGTAAAAACAAGGGGATAGGGAAGTAAGTTATGGTAGACAAACATTGAGGATTAGGTTGTTGTGCGAAACAGCTACCCTTGAAGTTTCTCCCGAAGGCTCAAGCTTCTACCTGACATCATCAATGATCATTTCTTATTTTTTAAAAAAGAGGAGGTAGTACCCCTGAAAATCTATCGACCTCTGTATTTTTCCTTGCTGCTCTGTATGTGCCACAATCCTGGATCTTATCAATGGCAGCAGAGCATATTCTTGGGGTGGATCCAAAATCTATAAAACATTATGGCATCCATGAACTTGATGAAAAGCAGAGGCTACAAAACTGAAATGAAGGGTGTTTTACGCAAAAGCTTTGGGGATGGGTTTGTAACAACCAAAGAACCTGAAATGTTTTTGCCTGAGACACTGGAAGAGGAGCGAGAGTTGGAGGTGGAACATGGGAGGTTTCACTTCGGTTTTGATGTGGTAGAAAGAATCAAAGATCTCAGTTGGAATTGTTTAGCATTTGAAATAATATCTGCTCAGGTATAGATTGCTACGAGCTTGCAAGTTAGGTTGGAAAGCAGTGGGATGATGTGACGATGATAGTGGAGAAGAAATGCACTTGGGATTGGGGGAAATTGAGATTATGAAGTAATATTTACGACTGCCAATCTTGCATAGGTATCCAGCAGACGAGCGTAAAAAGAAATAGAATAAATCACGATGAACATGAACCTCGAGAAGTAGGAAGAATGTGAGCTAGATCAGGCTGGAAGTGAAGTCATATGGGCATTAGGCAGGCTCTAAGAAGTAACAAGAATTGAGTTCTCGCCAGTGGCAGCAACTATTTGGCGGGAAAATGTGCGAGAGGTAAGATGTGATCTACGAGACTGAAGTGCGATTCGAAGCGAAAGTTTCAACGAGGGCAGGATTCAGAGGGAAAAGTTGCTGGAAGGAAAGGAAGGAGAGGCCAGGAGCAGCAATGGCTTGATGTTGTTGATGACATTGGCATTTTTACCATGTCAATTTACTTTTTTCAACAAAGAGTGGGGGAGTTTGTCGAGAGGTGTGGAACGGGGACCGACCCATTCATTTAGATGAAAAAAAGTTCGAAAAGTTTTAGAACTAAACCCACACTCAAAATTCAGTGTGCCACTGCCTCTTTCTCTTCTTTATTGTAACTGAACAATTCTTGAGGCATGTTGGATTGATGCAACCTTTCCTTCTCTTGCAGCAATATATCCATTCACTTGAAGCATCACTACAAGAAGAGATGTCCAGACATGCCCCTCTATATGGTGCTGGTTTGGAAGCTCTGTCAATGAAGGAGCTGGAGACATTATCCCGAATTCACGAAGAAGGATTAAGGCAAATCCATACTCTTCAGCAACGCAAAGGGAGTCCAGCAGGCAGTCCTCTCGTGAGCCCTCATTCCCTCGCTCACAGTCACGGGTTGTACTCTGCAGCACCTCCCCCGATGGCTGTCGGGATGCCTCCTTCACTCATGCCCAATGGCTCAGGGATCCACAGCAATGGACATGTGAATGGTGGTGCAGTTGGACCATGGTTCAACCATGCTTGATCGATCGAACGCTTGGTCGTCACAGCCACTTTTTTCTCCTTAATAGAGCGCTATAAGATGGATAACATCACGAGAGAAGAATGTTACTGTTTTGAGTTGGCATTTTGACTGGTTTACCGGTTCGGGGCGCGGAATGGGAGATTGAAAGAAATAGCAAATCGTTTCTAAATATAGGGTTCTCATGATTGAGTTTGTGAGGTTTCTAGTTGATGATTCCATTCTTAATATCCAGCAGTTAAAAATGCCATTCATATGCATTTCTCTTTTCAAGTCATGAAGTTCATTTTAGGTAAAATAGCCCATTCCAGAAAAGCTTTTACCATTTGGTTTCTTTATTCATTACAAGTTCTGTTCTTACCATCTTGTTCTCTTATTCAATTTCGTTCCATGGCTTTGCCGATGCAACTGACATCGACTAAATAAACGTCTTAATACGGTCGAATCAAGAGAAGTTTGTCTTGGTTAGTAGTAATCAACTTCATTGTTCATGCTCTGTCTCGGTAGGAATATTGAACAAAAATGGACAGTTTAGCGTTGAGTTAAGCGGTATAATTCCATTCATCAAAAGCGAGTGAAGGTTTTACTACAACTACTATGAAAATTTGGATACTATTTTTTAGATACTTTATCTTCATAATTTCTGATTTATTTCTTATATATAGTATTTTGGTTCCTATTTTTTAGATTTAATATATATATATATATATTTAATGCAAATCCTAAAAAGTTTTCACTTTTTTTTTTGTTGGTATTATATGTATATACATAATGAAATTAAAGTTGAAAGTGTAAGAACAAAATTAACATTTAATAATCTGATGAGGATATGGTTGGGTTTTAATTTATAATGTTGGAATCAATTAATTAATCTTTTTCATTGATTAAAAGAAAAATACAATAATTCCTACAGATTCTTGGAAACAAGCAATCCATGGATTTGAAAGAATTTAAAAACCTACCAAATCAAACAATCCACAGATTATAAAATTGAAAGCCATCAAAGGAAGGAGCAATTATCACTATACATTAAATAACTTCCCATATTGTAAATATTTGAATAAAGTAATAAACTTTCCACAAAATATTAAAACTACCAAATCTTCCTAATAAATGAAACTTACTTGATTATTGAAGATTGTGATTACTTTTTTCTTCGAATTTCTTAATAAAATATTAAAATTGTTAGCCAAATTTTAAGATTTAAAAAAAAAAAAAAAAAAAACCCCTTTTTTTCTTCAAAATATGGTTTAATTTTTTTTAAAACGTCCCGAAAAAGTAGATAAGAAAATAACCATAATAAAACTTAGAGATAAAAGTAGTGTTTAAGACATACATAAATAAAATAGTTATCAAACGAGACCTAAATAACTGATATAAGTAAAATATGGTAAAATACCATAAAATGCACTTAAGGAAAACAAGAACAAGAAAGAAGAGAGAGAGAGATTTGAGGAGAGCCAAGAAAAGAGAGGGTAAAAGAGGGAATGCAAAACAGGAAGAAAAAAAAAAAAAAAAAAACCAGAAATGCTTTGACTCTAATGTTCATCATCCACTTCCCACATATTTTCCTTTCTCTTTTCCTCAACTTCATAAATGCTTTGAAAATTCATTCTCTAATTTATAATATATTTGTGTTGAGGTAATTAATTTATTATGGATGTGAGGTGGTGCCCATTATTCCTCCTACTCCCACCCCTTCCACATCCTTTTCTTTTATCTATTTTTGCATGGCAGAGCAAATTGATGATCCCTCAATTCAAGCATGGCCCCTAATTATAGGTTTCTTTAGGTCATTTCCATGGTTGGCACTTCCATTTCTCATCATTCCTTCCTTCCTTCCTTCTCTCCTTCTCTCCTTCTTTTCTCTTTTCTGCAGCATGAAGAATGTCTGTTGGCCCTACTTTGATCCTGAATTTGATACCCTTCCTGAGAGGATCAATGGCCCAACGTAAGTGCTTTACCTCCACAAATTAATCCCTCGTCCTAATCAACCCTAGTTCTTACTTCTTCTTCTTCTTCTTCTTCTTCTTCTTCTTCTTCCTGTAGTTGCAGGGTCTGCATTGACAATGAAAGCATGGAGGATTGCACCATTGTCAAGGTACCAATAATGGGTTTCTAAGCTATTCTTGTTCTGTTTGTTTATTGCCTGTGCTACTTGGTTGATCTAAAGGCCTCCTCCATTTTTGGTGCAGGTGGATAGCTTGAACAAACAAGGTCTCCTTCTTGAGGTGGTTCAGATTTTGACGGATTTGAACCTTACTATCTCTAAAAGCTACATTTCTTGTGATGCAGGCTGGTTCATGGATGGTAAATTCTTCTTCTTTCCTCTTTCTTTCTATGAATCTGAACAAATGTTTCCTATCTCTTCTCATGGGGTTCTTTTTTCTTTTTTCTTTTTCCTTGTTGCAGTTTTTCATGTGAAAGATGAGAACAGCCACAAACTTACCGATCAGAAAGTCATCAACTCAATCCAGCAGGTCCATGAAATTCCACTCCTTGTCTTGTCTTTTTTGTTGAGGATTGTTGGGAGGGAGTCTAAAATGTCGAACAAAGGGTTTACTTTATTTGAGGACTCTAGAGATAGAAGTCGAGTCTCAATTAAGAGGAGGCTTGTTCGAGGGCTACATAGGTCTCAAGAGAGGCTCTATAGTATACTGTCCGAGGGAAGGATTTTTGGGAAGGAGTTCCACATTGACTAATTTAAGGAGTGATCATCGATTTATAAGTAAGAAATACATGTCATTGGTATGAGGCCTCTTGGGAAGGCTTCATCGTACCTTCATCCATGTTTAAGGGTCTCCCTCTTTATCTATCTCTTGATTTAGCTGTTTTCTATGGTGCAGGCCATTGGTACAACTAAGGGACCTGAAAACTCGGCCAAGACCAGATGCTATGCCAACAGCCTTCTGAAATCTGATAACTCCGGCGAGCATACAGCCATCGAAATGACTGGCACTGACCGGCCCGGTCTCTTTTCCGAGATATCTGCAGCATTGGCTGATCTTCATTGCAACGTTGTGGAGGCTCATGCTTGGAGCCACAATGCTCGTTTGGCCTGCATTGCTTACATTTCAGACCAGTCTACAGACAGTCCCATCGAAGATCCCCATCGGCTCGCCACCATTGAAGAGCATCTCTCCACTGTCCTTAGGGCGGCCACTGCCCCTCTGATCACCAGTTGGGCGCACACCCTGCAACAAGAAGTGAAAACATCAGCCACCATAACAACCAATGTTGAGAGGCGGCTTCACCAGCTCTTGCTCTCGGTTAAGGATTATGATTGGACCTCTGAATCCATTTCAAAGAGACGGAAAAGCAATGAAGAGTGGAGGAAGATAACGGTGAGGATTGAAAGCTGTGATCAGAAAGGATATTCCATTGTCAGCATTGAGTGTAAGGATCGGCCAAGGCTTATGTTTGACACAGTTTGTACTCTTACTGATATGCAATATGTAATTTTCCATGCTTCCATTAGCTCCAAAGGAGATAATGCTTTTCAGGTATCATCAACTCCAACCATTTTAATCTAACATTCTATCCACACCCAGAGTAAATTACAATTGAAAGTCAAGAATATGAAGTATTCTTCTAATCTATTGCTTTGAAAATGTGATGCAGGAGTATTTTATCAGACACGTGAATGGCTATGCCTTGAATTCAGAGAATGACAAGCAAAGGGTGGTAAAGTGCTTAGAGGCAGCTATTGAGCGTCGAGTTTGTGAGGTAAGACTAATTCTAATAGGTCGACATGGAAGGCCTTAAAATTGAAAATTCTAGACAGACACAGCCTTAGAATTCAATGATCTTGTAATTTAACCAAAGAAAGTAAAGAAAAAACTTACATGGAGCTAAACTTTAATCCCTGCGCCACCATCAGGATGAAGCTGCAAGTGTATTGATGTTTATGTCTTTTTGAACACAATATTTGGTCAGGGAGTGAAGCTGGAGTTATGTGCAAACAACAGGGTGGGATTGCTATCAGACATAACAAGGGTCCTGCGGGAAAATGGGCTGAATGTGGTGAGAGCAGACATAGCAACACATGGAGAGAAGGCAATTAATGCATTCTACGTCAAAGACATTTCAGGCAAAGATGTAGACATGGAAATGGTGGAATCCATGAAGAAGGAAATTGGCCCTATTGTCCTTCGAGTCAAGAACGAGACAAGCCCTCCATCCACGCCTCAAATTACCAGGTCTCGTTTCTCCTTCAGCGACATGCTCAAGTCTCAGATTGAGCGCCTCTCTCACAACTTCATTGCCATCAGGCACTGATTCTGTCTTTCCCCTGGCAACAAGTCAAAGGGATTACGGCAGAAAAATGAAGAAAAAGTAAAAGATTACTGTTAGATGTTTATATGTGTATGGTATTGACATAGAGTTGACTGTAAATAGTATGGGGTTTGGCAAAATGTGATGTGGCAGATGTTAGATGCAAATGTACTGTGGAGTAGAGATTTTCACACATTCATATTAATGATGCAAAGAAATGACTGTATAGCATTGTGATTTGTTGAATGGAATTGACGGCTTCCATGAGCCTAAACCTTTGAATTTAGTAAGAAAATTCCTGTTCATAAGTTGGAGGAGATTTTTTCTTGATGGGTTTGGTTTGAATCTGTTCTAGTTATCAACTAATCTGACCTGTAGTGGATGGAATCAATAGAAAACTCATCATTTTTAGTTTTAAAAATAAGCTAGTGTAGAAAACACATTTCATAGAGTGCAAATAGAAAATGCCATATAACCAATAATACCGCAAAAAGAGCAAGAAAAGTTCGTAAAGAAAGGCATAACTGCTGCAAAGCAACCCATAACCATTAATGCAAAAGAAAAAATAAAAAGATAAAGGCTATTCCATACAATGCTTTGGGTCAGCTATCTCGATCATGATTTTCCTACCCCAAAAGGAAAAGTTCTTCCCTTTTTAGCTGAAATTAATGACATTTTATAACAATGCTCCAAGTTCTGTGGGGGGAGATGTCAAAACATAATATCTGAAATGGGCAACAATGCTCCATGCTCCAAAGTGCTCACAATCCACCCCCTTTGGAGCCCAGCGAGACGCTGGTACTCTCTCTATTCTCCAAATGATGTAGACCCCCAATCTACCCCCTTCGTGGTCCAACGTCCTTGTTGGCGGCACATTATCTGGTGTTTGACTCTAATACCATTTGTAATAGCTCAAGTCCACTGCTAACAAATATTGTCCTCTTTGGGCTTTCCCTTTCGAACTTCCCCTCAAAGTTTTTAAAAAGCATATGCTAGGGAAAGGTTTTCATACCCTTATAAAAAATGCTTTATTTTCCTGTTGTGGATGTCATATGATGGTTCACAAACATATCATCAATCGAAAGAAACCAGAAAGACAAAAAGGAACGTTAAACCCTCTCCTGGAGCTGTACCTCAGGGGTTTGGGACCTTGACGCCATCACGGGTATGGCATTCAACTTCTTTTCATTTTGACAATATAAAGCATGACATCTAAGAGACTGGATTCTCATCAATTTCAGTATCTCTTTAACTGTGGAAAGCTGCAATTTCATTTTTCATCATCAAAATAAATGTAAGAAGCACTCATTTTCCTTCTTCCAAACAACAATTTATCAAGCATCTAGATAAGAAATGTGCTGCATAGAATTTAGACATCAGGGGAGCCAAGGCAAAATTTGAGAGAATTGTCAACCATGTGATCGGTATTACCCAATAGAGGATGACTCTAAAAGTCACAGAACAACAATTTCACTCCATATATGTTCATTCGATCATATGAAATAGTTCATCAGACCGATTTAGGTAACTTCCGGTTTCATCTATAATATATTCAGAAACACTCGTTCATCCGAAGCAACATGAATGTCACTAATGCATCTAAATTATGAAACGAATTCACATAGTTTTTTACAAGATTCAACCGCAGCTAGAGTTGTTAAATCGTAATGTACTCGATCATATTCTGAAATTACAATCGACGAAAACTGAAGTTTAGAAAAAGACGGAAAAGACGTTGAAAGCAGACCTGCTTCTTCGTTCGCGCCAAAATCCTCCGATACATGTTCTCCAGCCTCGTGTTCCTCCCCTGCGGCCTCCTCGTAGCCGCAGCCTAAATCACTGAGATGTAGATGTTGCATTAAAAAAAAACCTCCTCATACTCCGGTAAGCAACCTAAAAGAGAGCGAAAAATCAAAATGACGTACTCGATCCCAAGAGCAATAGAGATCGATTTCATCGAAGCAAGCGATGACCTCCTCAACGAGGACTGATGTGTCCTCTATACCTCAGCAGAAGCGACGCTTTAGCATCATCGAGTGCAGGCCCAACGTCTAGTATCGCCTCCTAGTAACTGTTCGCCCAACCATTTCCCGCCATTACCGCAGCGATCTAGATCTCTTCAACACACTGAAGAACAATGATCCACCAACGAGACGCTATATAAATGAAGCCGCAGTGGATCACGCTGGTGCATTGCAGTGCAAAACACAAAAGAGAAACAGAGATTCCGCGAAGGTTACGATGCATATGATTCTGATTCTGATTTTCTGATTTTGATTCTGATTCAGGTCGTAGCCACCACCGGATCATTTGTAAGTTGAAAGCAATTGAAGGCAGTGATAGAGAATTTCGCACAAGTGGCGAGGCGTGTGAAGAGACGCCTGGAAGAAGTTGGTAATTCAGTTTCATATTCTTTTTTCTTCTTCCTTCATAGAATATCAATAATTTTCTCCCTTTATGGAGTCCAATAATATCAAATAAATGATATTTTAAATTTGTAAAATGGAAAATATATATTTAGATAGAATTAAATGTATATTTAAATAATAGAATTAAAAGAAGTGAAGGGTGATTTGTGTTAAATATGCACATTTACTTGTTTGTTACCATGAATCTAAGGATAATTTATAATTTACTGTTTTGTTACTAATTTCATTATACATCTATAAATACACAAGGTTGTGACTCATATACGTACAATTTAATCACCCATTTTTAGTAGAATCGTAATTTTGGATTAGACCAAGTCGGTTCATTCGATTTTGATGAAGAAGTCCAGAAGAGAGTCTATAGAGGTCATTATCTGCTAGCGATGAGCTTGAATTGTTACATTTATCTCACTCAACTTAACCCTATGATACATAGTAGATTCGACAATTTGTTTGGAAACATGAAAATTTTTGTTTGGTAAATTACGTAACAAAACAATATATTTGGATATAACTAGTCGTTATCATTAATTTTATTTTATGAATATGAAAAATATATGTGGCTATAGATGTTTTCTTAATTTTTAATTTTTAATTTGAATTTTACCATAAATATGAATATGTTATAAAATAATTTCCCCACATAAACATTCAAATTTACATATATAAAGTAATTAATAGTTACCTAAATAAATGTTCATGAGACTGTTTGTATGCTATTAATATCCGATTCCATTGCCTTGGTGGCTTCACTCCATTTGTTTCAAAGTACAATTCCCCAACACTGACACGTGTGTTCAAATCCTTTTTCACACGTACAGACAAAAATTACTTGCCCATTTATACATTTTTAACCAACACTCATTATTATTATTACATCTAAAAAAACATTTCAAAGATGCGACCTAGTTCGTATAAGTTGATTTAATTAAGGCATGCATACCTCTACGTTTTTAGTACGGCAAACATGAGATATAAGAATTTGAATTTTTAACTTCTAAAAAGGAGTACACGTCAGTTACGGTTGAGTTGTGATCACTTTAACAAGACGTATATCCCTCCATCGTTCAATTCCTCAGCTAAACTGCAAGAGGGAGAGAGCACAAACACTAATAATATGTGTTAATTTAATTAAAACATCGGACAATTCTCGTGGGCCTGAACTGGTTTAGAGCGATGTCCAATCGCTAGACCCACACAACAAAACTACAGAAGAAATAAAAGAATGAAAATAATGAGACAATAAAGAGGATGTGGTAATCTATTAATAAACGAAACCCAGAAATGAAAGAATTGGGGATTGTGAGAGTGGTGTGGAGTGATGAGAAAGAGATGAATTCCCACCCTTGACTTGGTTTTTTAACCACTGAAAATCAAGTACCTCAGTACGATGACGACAAGGCACTGCAGCTCTTGGCGAAACTGGGAAAGAAAGGAAGAATGAGGAGGTTTCTTTTTCTGTTTCAAGTGTCTCGGAAGATTGGCTGAGCTGCCCACTTGAGATGCACATAAATCCGCCCTGATTTGGTTGCTTCCAGTGGAAAACTGTCCTGAATTTCTCCTTCCAATATCACTCTTGTCAGCGTCATTAAGAACCTCCCCAGTTTATCCTGTATATGAACACTAAACAAGTCTTATAAAGGGTCATATTTATTCTTACTAGATTGATTCATCAGGTTGAATGTCTCTAATTCAAAATCAAACGTAAAATTTTGGTTTCATTCGGCTCCTTTATGGAAGACGGATCAATTCCTATAAGTAAGATGCAAGTAAAAATAAATATCATCCATAACACATATGTCAGCCTTTATGTTTGAAAGCATTCAAAACGGCCTGTTTTATAGATGATTCCTATTTAGTTCTCTATTTCTATTTAAAATAGTCCTTAGGAAATGGAAAGTAGAGAATTTCTGTTGTCACTTCTAAATTTTACTAGTGTGTACTTTCTTGGGAAAAAAGATTTAGTTTCTATCTTTTCCTATCTCTCCTAATTATCCAAAGTATAGGAGTGGCAGGAATCAGTTAGTAGGTAAGCTAAGTATCGTCTTGAACAGATTGCATGTTTTCAGGCTGGTCAGTTGGTCGGTAAATTTGTGTGATTAACAGTTAGTTAGGATGTTGGGACTCTACTAATCAAACTAATATTCAAACCACATCTAGCTCATAAAACAGACAAATGTCCTTCACAATGATATGATATTGTTCACTTTGAGCATAAGTTCTTGTGACATTATTTTTAGTTTTCCAAAAGGCCTCGTACCAATGGAACTTCCATAATCATCCCTTTAATTAGTCATATATGGGACTCCCTCCCAACAATACTCAACAACACATTCTACGGGTAATGCAACTAAAAGTATCGAGATGGAGAAGATTACCTTTCCAAAAGTGTCATGATCCCAGACCTCTAAAATTAGCAAATCGTGTAATGCATCCTCCACCAGGAAGTCGAACGTTTGATTCCAGACAGGGTTCAGAGTGTCATGTACGACCTAGTGAATCATCCAATGAGATTTTGAGTTTAATATTCCAAATATTAACAAGGATAATCATTTGTCTACATAATATGACAGTGAAATATCAACTTGAAGGATTATAAACGACGAGAAATATGAAAAGGATTAGTATAAAGATGAAATGAAAGAAATTTTGAAAAGACAAACTGCAAAACTGAGAGAATTTCACCCTGGTTTTAACTTTGGTCTCGGATTTCTTCATAACGAGGACAACGTATGGATCGGCTTTTCCCATGAAATCTACAGAAGGCAATTCCTCAGCACCTATTACTGTCACAGACAGGACTCCTCTCACTATCACATCCCTCTTCTGTGGGGAACTTGGTTTTCCAGAATCCGAATCTTCTGAGCCATAGGGAGCCGTCTGTAGAGCCTTCTCCACCGAGGTCAATGTATAATCTGGGTCAAATGGGTTTGTATAGAGGTTCTTATCAGTGCCAAAGGGATAGTAAAGAAGCTCCAAATGCACCTGTATAAGCGCATAAAAGTTGAGTAGATAACTCCTTTTAACTGAACTCAAAAACCAAGTGGGAAAGTGAAAACTTGATGTCATGGAGTTCTGACCTGACCCCTATTTTTGTTATCTCTTTGGATGTCCAAATCTTTCACCAGCTTCAACCAAACATCCTTCACTTTACCAGGCTCGAGGTCCTTCAATGCAAATTGAGCACATCCAATTAGTTCTGATGCCTGAACTCCTTCGTCGTCAAAAACTCTTATAGTCAAGTGTTGAGTAGACGCATCTTCAACGATGAAATCAAAGTGCTCATTCCATATGGGATTCAATTGATTGTTCTATCCGGATACAGCAAAAGAAAAACTTATTTTAGTTGATCCATCAAAGATTAAAAAAAATGACAAGAGAAACTTTATCTTACAATGGTTTTACTTGTTTTCATTCTCTCTTTCAATGGCCGTATAAACAGCACAGCATAAGGATCTGACTTTCCTATAATGTCTTTATTGGTTAATTCCTTTGCTTGCACGAGCTTCAGTTCTAATGTTCCAACAGGTTTCGCCTCTAAGTCACTATACATAGTAAAGAGGAAGCCACATATGAGCATGCCATTGTCAAAAATTAATCGTAATCGACCATGAAGTAATTTTTCTTATTATGGTTGCTTTGTTAGGAATCACGACTCTCCACAATGGTATGATATTGTCCACTTTGAGCATAAGCTCTCATGACTTTGCTTTGAGCTTCCTCAAAAGGCCTCATACCAATGGAGATATCCATGATCTTCCATTAAATTAACCAACGTGGGACTCACACCCAATAATCCTCAACATGCTTGACATACCTATAATCTCCTGCTATGATGGGCACAATCTGCCGAACAGGCCACATTATGCTACCTTCGATTGCATCTCGAAGTGTTTCCTGGAATGAGAAGAGTCCATCAATTTGGCTTGTGCTACAGAAATTTGTTGTGCCAACAAGAATCAGAAAGATCAATTCTGACTTACCTCAATAGCAAAAGAAACCCCAGGAATAGATGATATATCTCCTCCAATAATCCTAAGTTTAAAATCAAGATTTTTCTGCAGCAGAAATATGAATTCCTTCAAAAGTATATAACCTTCTGATTTCATTATCCAACAGTATAGAGATGGCAATTTACCTTCTTCCTCAGAGAATAACACACTGCTCCAAAGCAAGGAAACTCGTCGACCAATGGTTTGAACATTAATCTGAAAAGCCCTGTGAATGCAATATCTTTTACCTAATAAATAAGTCAGTATATAAGAGAAGAAATTGGTAAGGGAGAAGCAGCTACATACATGAAAACATCTAATTTAGTAAAGAACCAAGAGTTTATTTCTTGTGATTTAATTCAGATTCAAACATCATAATAAGTCTACCCACTTAAATTAATCTCCTTATTACCTGTACTGGTAAAGAAACGCCGAGTTTAGTTTTAATGTCAAGAACAATGTTTGGATTACCATCCCACTGCATCTCCAACTCCAAGGTTATTCCACCAGTGTCTGCCTCATCTTCAAGTACATCGATTCCTACAGAACAGAACGCCTATCTTGCTAGTATGAATGAATTCAGATTGTTTAGATTAAGAAGGTTGTGATAGCTAGTACTGAATCTGGTTTCTAGGGCTGCAATTACTTGATATTTAAACCAATTTATACCTGTAAAATTTGGAGATACAGTACCAAGGGTCAACTTCGAGAACTTCAAAGAGGATAATATAGCCGGTCGAAATTGTTCGAGAATCGGCTCCACATTGCTCCTTATCAGCTCCGATGCTGCCTACAGAAATCGCCATTCCATAGAATGCCAGGACATAATAACAGAAGGAAAAAGAAGAATCGACTCCAGAACCAAAACT